CCCTCGTCTCTGCGATGCCAACGTTAGTAAACGGTTTTTCGTTCTCTGAAATCGCGGGCGAGGCTTCACCGTCGAATGCGCGCATTGATAACACCGACCTGACATCCGACGAAGAGAGTCGTATCTTTGGCGGATCAAGCGCCGACATCAGCAAGTACTCCTACGTCGCAAAACTGATTCCTGGTGATATGGAGGATGCACCTTTGTGTACAGGCGCGCTAATTGCGCCGCAGTATGATCTCACGACTGGGTACTGCCTTGGGTGGTACATGTTTGACATGCACGTTTCTCTCGGGGGTCAAAAGAACAAGGATCAAGGCTCTCAGAAGTCGGAGCGGATTCGTGCCGTCGAGGCTTTCCGTCACCCAATGTACAACTCTACGTGGTACACGTATGACGTGGCATTGATTAAACTCGAGAAGCCCTCGACCCATAAACCAGTACGTCTCACTGGTGCTGACGGATCTGACGCGAAGGCTGGCACAATGGCCACTGTCTTTGGTTGGGGGGAGGTAAGCAAAGAGAAGTATGCTGACTCTCTTCAATCGGTGGCTGTCAAGATTATTCCCGATGATGAGTGTAGCAAGTATGCCATTGACACCGATGTCACGTTGTGTGCCGGGACCGAACGTGGAAAGGGTTTTTGTGGTGGAGACAACGGCGCCCCCCTTATTTCCAACGGCGTGGTTGTGGGGATTGCATCTGCTCTTCCTGGTGAGGCTAACGATTGTGGCGAGCTACCTGATATGTACACGCGCGTCTCTCACGTGCTGGACTACATCAACGATGTTGTGAACGGTGGCTCCACTGGTAATGTCACTGACTCGCCCCCGATGATTGAAGACACCGCGGAACTATCGCAGTAATCATGTTGGTAACACCTTGACAAGACTAGTAGGCTAAATGAAAGGACATTTGCGGGAAATCGCTTTACTTTTCTTTGTTCTTCGCATGTTCTAGACACTTTGCATTCAACATTAAAACATTTATGTACTGGTAGTGTGTTTCCGTATGAAGTGAACGCACAGCCCAACTGGGATTACTTCATCTCCGTGCGTTGTGTTTTACACACAGTTTCATGCAATAGAAAATATCAAGTGAATTCATTTATATTTTGTCACATTCGCATGGATTGAGAAAATGTATCACGATCAGTTTCGTTTTGAAGCTCGCGCTCAATTTCAAGTCTTTATAACATCTGAATATGTAACATAATGGATTAACTGCATTGATGGTTTGGTGGCGGTGTCCCTGCATCCGTACATGTACTCTTCAGTATGAATTCCCAGAGACAGGATCCGACGAAGATTACTGATTGCGTACTTTTCAGTACTGTTCCACTCAGCCTCATACACCGTGAATATGCTACATAATGGATTAACTGCATTGATGGTTTTGTGGCGGTGTCCCTGCATCCGTACATGTACTCTTCAGTATGAATTCCCAGAGACAGGATCCGACGAAGATTACTGATTGCGTACGTTTCAGTACTGTTC